TGTAAAGCTAATAGAAAAAATTGGGAATATGTATGAATTATTTAAAAACCTATTTTTTTTAATAAACTAGGAAGAATTACAAATTCTTTAAAACCAATTACATTAAATATCTCAATGCATTTTAATCAACATCGCACACTGATTATACATTTCATATACATATATGTACATATTAAATTAAGATAAAAATGGCAGTCGGGACCTAGCTATAGTTTAAATGACAACATTCAGGCATAATTGAGGAGTAACTTCTAAAATATCATGGATGATCATTTGATGATCATCAATAAAAAGCATAATACTTATACTAAATAGATAATTATATATAATATAGATATATATATATATACTTCACATTCCAATATTTAGTTGGAGCGCGATTTCTTATTTCTATTATGAGCAGAGTTGTGCCACAGACCTGGAAAATCGGGAAAAGTCAGGGAGAATATAAAAGAGACTGAAATTTTGAACTTTGCTCACAATTCCCTTAAACTGCTCTTATTTCAAATAATTTTTATTTTTTAAACGTTATATCTGATGTTTATAGTCAAATACGTTTAAAATTCGTACATTTTAAAATATAAATTTTTTAAAATTTATATTTTATTCGGTAATTTTATTTAATCGCTATTTTTAATATAAACTTTCTTACAATCGTTGATTTTAAATGTTAAAATTTTATATATTTTTTATTATGTTAAAATTTTTATATATTTTATATTGATCATGGAAATTTCTCATTTTTATTTGAAAAATCTGAAAAAATCAGGGAATTTTAAAATTCATTTTCTGTGGCAACCCTGTATGAGGTATATGTCTGTTACGTTTCGAACAAAATTTATTTTAGTATTTTTTATATAGACATTGTCGACGTTCGAAGTAAAATTAAAGCAAGCTAATTAAAAAGTTACTCCTCAAGTAGAAGATCAATTATTCATGATATTTAAGAACCAAACGAACTGTAAAATACAATTAATTCTCGAAAGGCGAATGTTTATTTGAATGTAATGTCTTGTATGTACTATATATAGTGTTTGTTAACATCTTTTTTGTTCAACTATTAATGTAAGTACATTGTGGAATTAAAAGAGATGTTTTGTTTCAATTGTGTAACTTGTCAGAGGATGTTAAAACTTAAAAAAAAAAAGAAAAAAATGCGAGTTGCATATTGTCATGACATATAGAATAGAATAAAAATATTTTACATACTAGAATTTGCATCATTTTGTAAAAAAAAGAAAAAGAAAAAGATACGAGACAAGAATATGTATCTATTTTATTTGTATATAAGTGACATGCGCATAAGAGTCCTGCGATATATGAAAACATATTTATAAAATCTTTTATTTGAAATAAACATTTTTGTATATATATTATATTTTAATAACAACTGGTACCATATAATATGGTGTATATTAAGATTGTAATGCAAATAATAGAATATAAGGATGGACATGTCATTATAAAAATATTTATACAGAGATGTAGTTTTATTTTGTTCTATCTTTTGTTAAAATATTATGAAGCGCTCTTCTGTGTTCGCCGATGACTTCATACAATTCTTTAAAAAATTGTTTAGCAGCTTGTTCTAAAAATGTTTTTCTTCTTATAACTGCATCTAATTTGTCTCGTGCCTCTTCTATTTCGAAGTCTACCGCTTGTGTATCTGGCATCATATCTTGTATTTCTTTAATTTCATTTTTCAGGTTTTCTATGCGTTTTATAAGCTTTGCTTTTTTCTTTTTCGCATCTGCTTTCATTTTATTAATGTGAGATATTTCCTCCTTCAATTTGCTTTCATCTGGCAAAGATTTAATTTCTTCTTGCAGTTTTTCCAATTTCGCGGCGTCAGAACGAATAAGAGACTCTATCTCGTTGCATTGCTTCATCAATATTTCTTTGAATGTTTTTATTAAAGTGACTTTCTCTTGCATTATATCCATTATTCGTGGATCCAACAATCCTTTTTCCGGGAGCTTCAATTCTTCGAAATTTACACCAACGTCATTATCAATATGCATGAAGACTTCCTTATTATATGCTAATATTGCTTTATTGAGATTATTATTAAAAGTCGCAAATTTGATATCTAAAGAGTACAATTCCTTTTGGTAATCTTTCAAATGCTCATCAAATTGGTGTATGTAGTTTTGAATTTCTGTACATTTTTTAACAATGTTTTCTTTTTCAGTTTTAGACATTGGTTGATTTTTCACAATTGAGATTAATTCTTCATATTGTATATTTCCTATTCGAATTTGTTCCTTTAAAACTTCACGTTCTGCATTTAATTGATCTGTCTCAGCGGAAACCTTCTTTATATAATCCCCCATAGTTTTAATATTGCTTGATTGTTGAGATTCCTTGGCACGCAAAGACGCTAATTTCTGTTGTAAATATTCTAATTTTTCATCATATTTCTGTGATTCTTCTTCATGCATTTGTAACTTTATTTCTTCTTGTTTCAATTCTTTTTGTGCCTGAGCTATATCATCATCAGTAATACCTTGTTGAATTAAAACATTCTGCAGATATTGTTCCAATAGTTCTGCTTCCTCGTCGCGATTTTCGACAGTCCAAGCTTTATAGCATTCCAACAGTGCTTGAAACTCCATTTTATAACTTTGAGCCTGCTGCTCCGTTCCTATGAATGGCAATGTTTCTAGTTGATATTTATTGAACGCGATTTCTTTCACTTGACATGCTTCTACCAACCAACCGATCCAACCGAGAACATTGGACCACGAATGTGGTGCGTTAGCAGTTATTAGCCACGATTTGATTTTGCCAGGATAATGTATCTTTTCTGCACATTTCGGTAATTCTTCTACGTAATTTGCCATTGTGAGAGCATGTCTAACACCAAGATATTTCAATAGGAAGCCAGAAACTTCCACAAACATCTTCAATGTAATCGGTCTCAAACTGCCATTGCTGTTTAGCATTGCTGAATATTGATTTACATAAAAGAAATTATCTATTTTATTTAGCAGGGCCGCCTGATAAGTCTTATCTAATAAGGGTCTTGTATCCTTTCTAGGACCTTTAATGCCCACGCTGCTAGCACGGTCGCCAGATGGTGATCGACCCATCGGTATTGACACATGATGCTTGCTAGAACTTGCTGTAAGTACTATAGTTGGTACATTAAGTTTAGTGGAAACTCTTACTGGAGTGATTGGAGTTATCGGTTGGCGTAGCGGAGTTCTTCCTACACACATAAAAAAATAGATTTAAATAAAAATCTGAATATCTCAAATCAATTAAATCAATTACAAAGGTGAAAGTGAGTTAACTTAGTGAGCTAATTAATGTTACAAAATTGATTTTCATTTCGAATAGTAAGATCCAATAGTAAGATCAGTGTGATGGTCGAGTCACAGTATCTTACAAGATAAACATAATAGAAATAAGAAAAATGAAAATTAATATAATGATATCAAATAATACAAAGATAATGCAATTATCTGACTTTCACCTTCATTATTTTAATTTATCAAGCCTTAATTTTTTTATTTTAAATTAAATCTTTGGCTTTGTTGATAAACATTTTTTATGCATTTTCTATAGTTCATATAAGATAGAAATGATGAGCTAACTCATTTACATTTTATTTGCAATGAAGATGTCTGCATTATATATTTTACCGTAGAAGAAATATTTTGCTATGAAACTTTTTTTATGAAGCCTGCTAAAGAGTAGATTTGCAATTTAACATATAATAAAAAATAAAATTATTCGCGATAGATGCAGATACATGCTGATATTTTATCTCCTAGAAGTAATATTGCGTTCTGAGAACCTTTTAGCTTCTTTTTTTAATAAAACTACGAAGTTACAGAACCGGAGTTTACAATTTGGTTCTTATACATTATAATAAATAAAATTATTTACACTTCAACTGTACTATAGTGTAGATCAAGGTTGCGTTGTTTCACGCATGACGTATCATTTTATCTTTCTTTAATATTCGATGAACAACAAGAATAAAATGGTATATCATACGCATCATGCTTGAAACGGAACGCACCTCTGGTAAGATATCAAAACGAATTTTTATTTCACTCCTTTAAAAAAGAAAAAAATGTTTTGTACAAGCTTTCAAGATATTTAGGTGATTTTTCTTGATTACAAATATCGTAATTTTTTTGATATTTTAGCTTAAAGAGATGTAATTTCAGCATAAAGAAATTCATTTTTGACAGAGGTCTCCATAGTCTCTCTGTCAATCTTAATAATTAGAAAAAAATAATTTTCAGTATGCTTTTAAATGCAGTGCTTTACCTGTCGTTTTCAAATACGATTTTCTGCCAAGTGATCCTGCTCGATCGCTGGAAGAGCTTCTAAAACGAGGCCTAGGAATATGTGAAGCTTCACCCTTTGATTTCCTCAATGTTTGTGTTTTTCGCTGATCGGTTCGGGTCAAGCTTTTGTCATTCCGTTCGATCGTGGATATTCTTACCGGATTACTAGACGATCTATGTCTGACTGAACTCTGCTGCATATTGCATAAAATGATACGCAAACCCACACATTCACAAACCTCTCGCCGAACTTATAAACTCGGAGAATAGGAATTTGAATTTTCAGTTAGTCAGTTAAACTGATACCAGTATAATACCAATCAAAGGTAGCAAAATTCTCTGATATGTTTTAACAACAGCTGAGTGAAATTGGCAATCCTGGCATCAAGATATATGTACTAGAAATTGTTCTTTTGAGACCTGTCGCGTTGCTCGACTCTCTTTTGTACTTAAAAACTTTTGTACTTAAAATGAGATACATACATATGTATTCGGGTGTTGAAGAGAGAGAAATCGAAGATGCTAAGTGCAAAAAGTGCTAAACAACGTGAGAACTTTTTGTACTTTTTATCTTTCCTTTTTCTCTCTCCAATTATACTCCAAGATGTAATTAATATAATTTTGTATTGAACATAAGTGCAGATTCTGAAATATTTATATAAGAATATTTATTTATATTCTTTATAAATTGACTTTTGTCCGACACATTTATGAATTTAAATAGAAACTTTTTGAATATATGAATGAAATGATTAGCGATTAGTTGCATCGCATTCGATGTTAATAATTTCACAACAAAATGTGGAACAGAATGCTCACGAGATTTTTTAGTACAATTATTAAAAATCAGAGAGTGCAGAAAAAGGTAAGGTTTTATATTGTGTAAATTTTTTACAGTTATTGAGGTTAGAAATTTTTTAATAGCAAATATGTAAAAGATGCTTTTTCAATAATATCTCATGTAAACTTTATGAATTTATATATTTTTTTGTTTCTATAACTTCTCAAAGAAATTTTTAATGTTTCTTTAGAATTTTTAATATTTTGTTTTATTTCTCGGTTTACAGATCTATAAGGATTCGACACTAAGCGTAACTGCTGTTTTTAAAACAAGTATGTGCACTGACATTTTTGATATCAACCTTCTCTCTCCAGAAGATAAAAATAAAATACTGCAAGTAATAAATAACAAAACCACAGAAGATTTATTACAGTGAGTTAACTATTTATATAAGAAAATTTCCTGAACTTACATGCAATGATATTATAAATTTTTGATCATGCATTGATTGTTGAAATTATTTTTGCAAAGATATTCCATTACTAAGAAGCGTGCACAGAAATTAGAATCATATCGTGAAAATAATGGACCGTTTGAATCATTGGATGATTTATTACAAGTAAAGGGTATGAAAAACAGATGGCTATATAATTTTTACAAATCAATTATATATGGCAAGAAAAGGAAAAATCCTAAGAAGACTATGTCAACCCTAATTATAACTCCACGAAGTATTGGAAATAATCATAAAGTACACAAGAAATAACACTCTTTTTAATTTTCTAGTTAAAGAATTATATAAAAAATATTACTAGCATTTTCTTTCTTGTGTCTATACATTTTTGTTCAATTCAATTTTTTTAAATATGTTACAGAATGTTAACACAGTCTTAGGCATATACGTAGGACATGACATCATAAGTTGGTCATTATTAAATCGCAATTGTGAAGTATTACAGTGGAGCTATAAATCTTTTCCACGAAAAGAAAAAAAAGAAAATATTCTTTCTTTACTTCAAACAGTAAATATTAAAACATTAAAAAGTTTTTATTATTTATTTTATAAAATAAATCTGTTGTTTATAGAGTTGCTGTTAAATAGAACAGATATTTTATTACAACTTTTTTTTTAGACACTACCAATTGCTAAAAAATTACCGAAGGCCGATCAGTATATAATGCAAGAGATCGGTAGTGGTGTGAATCATATACAAAACATTCGGTTTTATCAAAATTGTACACAACAGTCTTTAATAGGCGCTATCATTTTGTCTCACCTGACGATAGTTGATAGTAAATTTAATGGTATGAAAATTGTACTTTTCCATCATATTAAAGCTACACTGATTAATAAGTTGGAGGAATGTTTCTTTATAAAGAGAAGTAAAACATGTTAACTAAGATTATTGATTAATAAACATAATATTCTTTTCTAATTTATATTATTGTTTTATGATAGCCTAAATTTAATAGCAGTTTAAAGCCAATTAGTCTTAAGTGTAAAGACTTCTAACTGCAATTATCATTTAATTCGAAAGACAAGTGTCTTTATTATTGTGCCGATATTTTTGCTATAAATTATATGGGAGAAAAATTTAATATAAATATTTTGTTATGATATATATTTTTCAGATACCACAGAGTTTGTGGCAAATAACATCTATATACTTCGACAGCGTGTATTACGGAAAATCTATGGACTTGTAATAGACAACGAGACGATTTCCACACAATACATGCTACAAAAGCTACTACAGGGAAACGATGAATTGATAAAAACAAAGGAACCAAAAGTGTTAATAAGAGCAGAATTAAGAAACATGTATAACACACAAAGTTCTATTTGTCAAGAACAGATTGGTTGGTCATTATTGATAGCGTTAGCTTTTGTAGAATTAGTTTTACATAAAAGAACTGATATGATCCTTCGTGAAGCTTCTCAAAAATTATAAAATGTTATGTTATTGTTATTAATTTGATAATAAAGCCAAAAAATGTTGTTAAAACATTAATAAATATATTTTGTAAAATAAACAGATTGCTTACAGCGTACATAAAGAACATCTTTTTTATACATTGTTCAATCTATATGGCAGAAAAAAGAAAGAGTAATTCCGAAACTTTTTAAATCAATCCTAAAGAAAATTATATTTGCATCATAATCAAGGAAAGAAATCAAATGTTATAAAACAGAAAATTAACTACAATTATTTAGACATACTGCTGTAATAAAGTGAGTATTACACTTATAATACGATAAAAACGTATAAGACTAAAAATTTGCAAAAGATTTTTCATAAAAATTTTGCACTTTGTTTTCTAATATTGTTCAGATACTAATTTAATTATGTTCCAATGTATGATTAATTTTATCTACATTTACTCTGCCATTTCAGTGGATTAAAATTACAAGAGGAAATTTGGCAATTCTCGTAATACGCAAAACATTCAGCTTCATTTTTCATTTAAAATAATTTATTTATAGTGACGAGAATCGAAAGTGCGTAAACGTGAGTTACCAATAATAATAAATACAATAGACTTCTGTACAGGTCCATTCATTTATTATATTCTCACTTTTTATTATGCTATCTATTTATAGTATACCAAGTGTATATTGTTGTTCGCTGCTCGAATACAAACTCGCATCCGGTTATTTCATATAAGATTGTACAACGTACCGGGGCGTTTGCCAGAAAAATAGGATCACCCGGACGATATTTTGCAGAACCACCGAATGAGTATACAACAGTAAGAGGCGAAGCCTCGCGAATGGGACACGAGAAGTTTCCTGGCGAACTAAATATATATCCTTCTATAGAATTCTTCATGCCGAGATGAAATCACGACGACTGTGAGATACGGTGTTATACGGGGAAAATATCAAATGCCCCGCTACTTAATCTCGGGCAGTGACGCTGTGTGACAAGCGTGTACGAAATGTTAGCTGATCAAGCATAAAGGGAGACACATCGAATATTTATTTTCCACTGTATGCATCTGAGATTTGACTTTGGATTACAACCGCGCTTAGGCTCCATCGCGAAAATACGCACATGAACTTCCGAGCTCAGTTTACGCGCGTCGAGTATCGCGGAAAGGATTTGGAAGCTGTTTAAAGGGAATGTTGTGATGATAAAAGTGAATACAATAGCGAACTGCAATGATGACTATAAAAACGCGAAGATCATAATATTATGCAATTTAGGAGGTCCGCTTTGTGTAAATTGCTCTCTTTGTTCTGTTAAGCACAACCTTTAAAACAGCATCCAATTTTTTTACGACAACCTGTACGAGAAGATAAGTATAATGATAATTACATCAACTGTATGCATGAACAATCTCATTCGATTAATTTCAGTTTGTCAATATGGCTGTGCATGTCAGTATTAGTATATATTATTGAACATATATAGATATGCTATTGAGAATCTGTTCTCCACTTTTATATCGAGCAGAGAAATATTTAGAAAATATAAACTATTAAATATTTAACAAGAAAGAATTTGGCATGATAATTAATAATTAATTAAATCAGGATCATTTTTTAAGAAGATTCGAATCTTTTAGTTTCAACGAACGTTATATGAAAATATATCTAAAGACATTATTTGCTACAAACCGTCAAATAAAATATATAATTCAACGAGAAACATAATTAGCTACTAGATATCGCTGAGATACAAGCACACAAAGGCGAGTTTTCTGATTTTCAATTATCGATTGGGCTAGCTTGAGCTATATAATGTAAGCATAATTGTATTACATCATAAATATTACAACACTGCGTCTGCGACGAGATTTGTTTTCTGTATAAATGAAGTTATATATATTATCGGAAAAATAAAATGAAACTAGACGACATGTGACGCGCGTCTTACAAATTTATATTACAAAGCGTGCGCACACAAATACTCGTTCAATTTGCCTTTGTCCTTCGATTATCATATTACCTCGGTTTACACTTATCTATTATATATGTAGATAAACCTGCTGCTCAGCATACAGAAATCTTTAGTAAAATCTTTACTTCTCGATATATATATATATATTAACAAATTATATATGGACATATATCTGCATCATATCGTACAATAAATCGGATCGTGCGATTGCGCATTCGATTTTAGATTACTTCGAATCATATCGCTGCCAGGTCAATACATTATAATTATTAGAATTATACCCGATCAGACCAGCTGGAAACGACATTTTCTGTGGCAATCCGTAAATATAGATATAAAGTACATATACATATATACATATATATATATATATATATGCATATATACACATATTTCGTTATACAATACTATAACACATTGCGAAACGAAGGGGCGTATCATTAAGTACGTATCATTTTGTAATTTACAACAGTTTGTTATACCTAAAAACATTCCTATGTATGCGCATGTGTCGTGTATAAAATCTATTAAATGTACAGGGGGAGAGGGCCGCATTCCAAACAATATTATCAAACATATGGAGTACGGACATAATAATGGTTCTATATACGCACGTTTAAAAGAAACACTTTGCGGAGTCTTATTAAAATATAAAATAAGCGATATGTATACAGATATATCGATTATTTTTAAAAACCGATTATGTATCTAAATGTGTGTCACTTTTCTCTTTTCGTCGTTTCTTTTCTTTCAAAGATATTAAGAATTTTGACACACCAAGCGGATACGTCGTCGAACGGATTACAAAATGAAAAACATTCTTTGAAGTAAGCTTCGACGTGGTTCGCTTTAAACGGCACGTATAACTCATCCGAAAAATTTACTAAAAGACTTACATTACTAATGGAACACAAGGAGAACCATTCTGATTCGCTATATAATATCCTTATATAATACGTTCAAGCAACGTGTACATAGACACATTTTAAGGCTAATTATGTATTCTAAATTTATTCAATATTCACATACAATCAGAGAGGTTCCTCTTTATCATGCTTTGGTTCGAAGACATAATGGAAAATGGGACATAATGGGCACACGCGAAGAGAGAGAGAGAGAGAGAGAGACGTGTACACTTCTGGGCACTTCAAATGTCCGAATGTTTGCCCGATTGTTTTTATTTAATCGCATATAGGAAGTGTACTCCTCTTTTATTTTATTCTAATTGCACGTAAGCATCTGCGACGCATTAACTTATATACTGTCACTGTCGAAAGAATTTAAAAGCATAATCTCTTTTTCTCAAAACATTAATATTAACAGTATCCATTTATGAAGAAAGAAGTACAATATGATTAAAAAACGTAGAAATTTTGATATTTTAGTAAATATCAAATAAAGATTTCTAAAAGAAGAAATAAAAGCAAAGTATCAAGATACTATTAATAATACAAATGTTCTTGTGATAATACCGGACGATTGTCAGCACGCAATCGAGTTTGAGATTCGTATTGCTTTCCTTAAGTGCTTTCTTTAAGTGCATTAATGCAAGGAATTGAGACTTACTTAAAAATTTATGCAAATATTTGTCGAACCGCACATGTGTAGAGCTCTTTCATATAATTTCATATAATGAAATCATATATCTTTCATATAATTTCATATAAAGTTTTACGGTGCACACACGTGAAAATAATATTTAAAATTACCGTGACACACAGCAGGGGCAGTAAAGTTATTAGTGCGCATGACATTTTGAAATATACAGCGGATTTTTACATCGGCGAAGAATATGTTGAAGATATATAGAAAGAAGGAATAGGAGTAAAAGTAAGAGAAAATAGTTACAAGCTCAACTGCTCCTTGAAATTGGTCCGATGTAAAGTGCACTGTTATGTGCACAATGACACGTTGCTAATACATAATAGCTACTAACAATACACTTAATAAATTAAAAACATTAGGAATATCGTTGCACAAGGAAAAACATAAGCCAAACATAAAAACTAAGTATTACTGGCACATTATTAGCCATTACGGATATATATCCGTTAATTCGTTATCTCTCTGATTCGATACATGCTATTTGGTCGGAAACATTTCTCTATGTCGCATATCGCTCTGGACTAGAATTGCGATGTAGCTAATGATGGACTGAAACAAGTGCTTTGAATCATTATGAAAGTTTCGAATTATTTCGAATATTATTTAAAATAAAAAGTTCTTGAAAGACTAATGAAAAGATAACTTTAAAAGTTTCCTTAGTTTTAAAAATCTTAAAATATTTGCGTTTATTAAAAGTTTTTGTGATAAATGTATATGGCATGTATATAAAATATGTGTATATTTTTAAATTAAGAAAATAGTTGAAATTATTCTTTGTATAAATCATATTGGTAATGTTAACTTAAACAGTAATTCACGTACTCTTTGTTATAACGTATTTTGTTTAAATATTGAAATATAAAATTAATTTTTCTTGCTATCAAACCACTTTTTAAGAATTCATTTTCTTTTAACATTTTTTTTTTAAGAATTTCAAAAATTTTAATGATTTTTTTAAAGACTAGTTCTTTAAAATAGTGAAACTTTACTAAAACTTATAATTTTCAATAATATTCGAAATCATTCGAAATTTTATGCTACTAAAATTGTTTGAAAATTTGTAGGAAAGAGAAGTGAATGCCCATCGATATAATACATGAATACATAATAATATTATACATTGCTGGACACAATGACAGAACACCATGAAAAAATTAGGACACGAGTTTATATTAAATATATGACAATAAAAAAGTTCAAATAATATTTTAACAAATGATATTTGTGATCAATTTCTAATTGAAAGAGAAACAATAGGACTTTAATTACAAGACACTTTCTTGAAAGTGTCTTGTTTTCTTGAAAAATATTTTAAATGAATTGTAATACTTTTTCTTGATTAATAATCATTATGAATAAATCTTTAAGTAAGTTACTTAGTTATCTTATAAGTAATACTTGTCAATGTCTTGTCGCCCATGTGAAATCGTAAACTCTTAATTCGCTAACGTTATTGACTTACAAAGGCATTTATGAAAATTTACTAAAGTGTCTAATCGTTTTATCCAGCAGTGTAGATTGCGGATATACAACAAAATCTGTATCTTCGATTTTTCACAAATCTTTCTTCCTTTGAAAGCAGAAAGACGAAGATCCAGTGGCACAATAAGGCATACTACTGTTACAATATTTATCCGTAGGACATATTTCGATATATTGCCTTTAATGACGATAACATGAATTATACAACTATTGGAGAGTGTAAACTATTAATAGCAACTATTAATAGTAACAACATAAATTAATTAATTACTGGCTCGATCATCATATACACATGCAAACACATTCACGCTCATACATAAACGACAACACGCAACATAGATAAATCTCATGATAGATACATACAGCAATGCGAATTGGACAGATTCTAACTTCAATACTTCACACTTAATTTAGCGAATGTAATCTAACACAAGTAAGTACTTATGCGTATTGAGTTTACTCAGTATGCGAATTAGCTCTTTTTTTGTTTTTTCTTTTTTTTTTCTTTTACGATACGTATAGAGTTTCTCGTGTCCAACAGTCGAGTCACTTTTGTTAATCCATTAAAATTTCTGTCTCACTTACATTTAGAGATACGTTGATTGAATCATTTAAAATAAATTCAGTTTGATGCCTCGCGAATTCGATAATGATTATGATATTCTTTTATTTTTCTTGTAAGAGATTACAAGAAAGGAATGAAATACTCAGTCGAAAATAATATCACAGCCTGGAGATTCAGTGGAAGACTAAAGATATTATATTTCAAACAAACTGTTTTTCAATTATTAACGTTCTAAAGTGTGAATTATTTTCAGATTGCGTATTGAGATATCCATTGAATCAATTTAACTGTTCACTTGAAGAATTCCACGAGATTTGATTAAGCTGTTAATAAAAGAATAAGCCGTGCACGGGAAAAAAAAGAAAAAAATTAAGACCATGCAAAGTGTCAGTGTCGTAAGTGAAGAATAATTGATAAAACTCCTATATAAATAATTGATTAACAATTCCTATGCTATCCTCACTTTGTTTTACTTTCATACTAGTCTCCCTTTTCTCCCTCACACGATTGTGATATTATTTAAAAAGCCCTGCCGCTTCATCGCGAGATTCAGTCATGTAAATACCATAATAAAAAGTATCTTTTCTTTTTTCAACCGATGTAATTGTCAGAAGAGAGCGTGACAAAACACGGTCATAAAAAGTGACTAGCATTCGCACTTGTTCATACTATAATTGAATCGATTTTCGACTGGACTTTTATCACCATGATAGATGTATATCGTCATATACATAACGTGTCTTGTACACATGTAATAAAAATAAGTTGACGGATTCTCGTAATCAATCCTCAAGTTACCATTATTTATCAGCAAGACACACTTGAATTTAACGTTGGCTTAAACACGCGGTTATCTTTTTGCTAAAATTCATCTAATCTGTTTCATGCAAGTACAAAGTAATTAAAAAATGTTATGCCTCTTTCTTTTCATTTAACATTTGTATGCAAGTTGCTATACATATTTTCTTTTAAATTACTTTGTACATATACACGCGCAATGTACACATTTATTTCGCATCATTCGTATATTTCGTATATATCCGTATATTTAAGTCAATTTTAAGGCTTCTTTAGATTCGGACTTTCTATGCATCTTTTGAGAGTACTCTATATCCGAAATAGAATGCATTTATATACTACTCTGGCGTTTATCAATTTTTATTAATAAAGAAATATATACAATTCTTTTCAAAATTTACTTTTATTAGAAAATAATAAAATTTAATACTTTTTTAAAAAATCTGCTATGTGTGTAATACAAATTACTAATTTAATCGTAAATAATTATGTAAAATAACATAAATTAAAAAATTATTTCCATTATGTGCGTATGATGCATATTTGTGTATGCATATGTGCATATTTATTTGCGAAATGCATATTTAGTATTTGTCGCGAATCATAGACAAAATCTTGATTGTCTGATTTGATATTTTATCAAGATATTACATTGTTAAATGGATGTATCAAAGAATATTGTACAATTCTGCTTTCATTAAAAATGGCAATGTTACTTTCATTATATATATATATATAGGTATTTCATAGAAATCTTGCAAAAGATTTATGTCAATATTCAAATACTAATATGGTTCATTTCTTTTATAATCTATCTTTTTTTTTGCCAGAGAGTAGCGTTAGAAGAGCATTCGATTTCGAATATTTTAGATTTCTATGTTTTATAAATAGTCACTGATTTGTTTAAAAATGGATAATGCACGAATTATGTGTATGAGCATATAGATTGAATACACTGAGATAAACTTGAGTCATTCTGGGGATAAGTTAAATACTATAATAATGCTTGTTCCTAGACCTCAAAATATTATATTGCGGTCTTTCACTGGGGGGTAATAATAAATAAAGATATTTATTTCGCAAACGATCGAGCGTAACAGAATGCACTAATACTCTCTTTTTGATCCAATACAGTCTTAGAGAATAGTCATTAATACCGTGTTGCTACGTTAAACACGCGCATATAATCGAGCAGCCTACAGCTTTGTTCAATGTGTGTCGTAAGTATAAACTTGGTAACTATTATCGATGAATCTTAATCGGTATACGTCTAGGTGAACAGTCATACGAAATAGTTTACTCCGAAATGATACCCGAAACATGCGGGATGAGATTCAGAAGTAGGTGGTACAAGTTCTTTTGTGCTTGTTATATATTATATGCTGTACGAAAGGGTCGCGTCCTTTAGTACAGCAGTATGGCGACATGGCTCTGCCCAGAAACAGTTCATCGAATGTCAGAGATGTTGGTTTTGCTGCCAAAAATTTTGACTAGTTGTTCTTCATAATCGTCGATATTACGTTTCATAAGTTCCATACACGGGCCAAGTAAACGTTCGAAAGCTTCAACGTCCAAAACTGTAAGCGTAAGGATAGTTTCAGTAAATGAAATAATCATTTTAAACAAGCAAATTGTTATTTGTATACATCCATTAAAATATGGCATCCTACATATAGAACATTTCAGAATCAATTTAATATACAGAGAGAGGGGGAGAGGGAGGGAGAGAGAGAGAAAGAGAGAGAAGATATCACGACTATCTCTCATCATTTAACAAGCCGAAGCTGCGACGAATATCGATATTCGCAATTACTCGGCACAATGTTATTGATTACCTATCAATTCAGGAAACGTGGGCAGTAATGAAATAAACTTACATGCCAGTTTGATGTCTCCCACAGCGTAGGCCGAAGCGGCGCGTGGTTTATGCGTCACGAGTGCCAGCTCGCCTAAATAACCGCCAGCCGGAACACGATTAATCTGTAGGATATTAAAGATCCCGAGTTAAGTAAGAAGAAAATTTTCTTGGCGCTCGCCGTCGACGTAATCGGATCGTTTTGCGGGATTAACGTATAATATAAATGTACCTCAATTTCACGACCGTGTTCGCCGAGTCTAGTAATTCTAACTACGCCATCCTCGACGAAATACATTCCATCTGCGGTATCACCCTGCCTGATTATTTGCTCGCCATCAGAATACTGTTTCGGTACAAGGGCATCCGCTAAATTCATCCGCTCGTAAGACTGGAAGAATTTAATACGCTGCAAATCTCGTAGGAGTTGATATTTTAAAAATTATTTCTTGTTTTTATTTAAATATTTTTTTTTAACTAGAAGAGCTTTTGATAAAGAAGATACACAATATATATTTTATCTCAAAATAAAAACATGAAAACTACTTAAGATTTAAAAAAAAACATTCGAAACTTTTAAAAGTAATTATATAAACAGTTATATAATACTTACTTCCAGAGACTTTAACATCGGCACTTTATTAATAAGATTCTCATACATTTTACGCTTTTTGTATGCAGATTTAAGGAGAATACGTCGGAAAGTTTGTCTATCCATGGCCCAAAGCGTGCCAGACGTAATAGCTTTGACAGTGGCTGCTCTAGGCATATTGTACAGAAGAGCCAATTCTCCGAAAGCACCACGATTATCGTAAGTGTGAATATGATTCTCTATTGCTGTGGCGAGATCTTTGACGTACACCTCGAACTTTCCTCTGAAACATGAAATGCGCCAAATAGAGACGATCGGAAATGGAATATAAAAGGTTATAAGACAGTTATGTATATTTCTGTTTTGTCTGGATGATTTTAAATTCCGAATAAAATGAACAATCAAAAAATAATTAGATTACTAAGCATTATTGTTTGAATATTTTCAGCTCTGAATAAAAGCACTGATCGACTGTGTGCATCCCCTCTTGGTTCACTGGATCTTCCCGCTGAAGGGAGAAGCCTATCGATACGTTAACTGTAATATATAAAGAAAAAGTATTACCTCTCGATCACATAAAAGTTGTCACCATCGTCGCCCTGCCGGATAATAAATTCTCCCGGTTGAACGATTTTTTCGAACATTGCGTCCAGTACGTCCGCCATTTGTTCCTGCAAAAGTAATTTTATTATACACGTTTAAATACGTTTTAGCGCAATATTATCGTCCGGGATTTAAAATATCGGCTTTAATATTGTAGTACGCAAGCAGGGGGAGTAACGTTAATATCGCGGTGATAATCGATGTACGTGCTTCTACGTACATAAATACATTTATATACATATAAAGGTCTTTCATCATTATACATATTTCCTCCTAACATAATTGATTCTTGGTCAACAAATCAATTTTTACGTGAAAATTTTTAGATCTCTCCTGTTTTCATTGATTCTCCATTTGCGAATTTTGGATAAATTGATGTGTATAACTGTTTCGAATAAAAATTAAAGATTATAAAACAAATTGAGAAATGAATATATTTATAAAAAAATATTAAATATATTTAAAAACACATTAAATAAATATATTGAAAAAAAATATATTAAATACACATATATTAAAAATAAATAGAATATATTAAAAAAGATAACTGTAACGTTTAACATTATCTACTAGTCAAGTGATGACCAGTAATTTATATTTAAATGCGTCGCTAATGAAAGAACAATTATCTCAATTATGCGAATCGTTTTGCTGGCAAAACCGATTGCTTTTAATGAGAGATTATTTGTGATTTTCTTGGTATTTCGCCCAACTGGCGCAGATATATCAAGTCGCTTATACCAATCAAAATATTTGCGATCATGTTGAACGCACTATGTTTAACTTACCTCGTCTAGAGCGCGAAACAGGAGTATGTTCTTAACGCTTTCACCGAGCCTTTGTCGCTGCTCATCGCTCTTTGGATGGACCATCTGAAATCAATGAGTTGTATGAAGACAAAATGAAGTTTGGGTAAAATGTAGCTATAGACAAAACTTCTAAATTCCTTATTAAGGCGCCTGTATAATCGAGACATCGTCGCTTCGTTGTCTCTACAGAGAAAATTTCTTTCTTTGAATGAATAATTAGAAAACGATTTGATGTAATCTAAACAAGTGAAAACTATATGAAATATAGCGTTTCGTTCATTCTCGTTCATGTGCAAGAAGCAATATTATTATCTAATAAATGAACACATGTATGGAGTTATTGTATTTAATCATTATATCGATATATTTACTATATTTAATAATTTTGACTGCTTATTCTTAAATTAACTTCTACAAATTGTGCAATAAGGTCTTCCGAAATTCTCTGTAAAAGTTACAACGAACAAATTCAATAGTTTAAGGTTCTAGAACTTGAGATATTGCCCTTTATGTTGGACGGTGAACTTTGACCTCTCCCACGCTTCGCTCGCTATTATTTCAGAGATAGAATGCATGATCGTTTTTCAGATTTTAAAGATTATCAAGCTGTACGATTTTGCATAGAGCTCCTAGCAAATTTATTAATAATAAAAACGTCACAGGTCACATAAAAGTTACGCAACGAAGCCTTGTTATTTTCTAATATAATAATAGCGTAAAGTTCAGGATATTTAACGTCTATATGGTACCTTTAATGTCTAGAAGCGTTTACGAAGTGCATAATTACTATAACCGCTATACATTTTCTACGCAGGGAAACAGCCCTGGAGTTAAAAAGTTTCATTCTTCAAGAGGGCCCTCACCGAAGCTGCTGTTAATGTTACGTTATTCGTTTAAACCTTAATTCTTCTGCTCGTAAAAAGCCGCGCCTCTGCCATTAAAATTATTCGCCTTTAAAACTTCTCACTCTCTCGTCGTTGGCTAGCGACTTGCGTCGTTATTACGGCCAGCAATATCCCTCGTTTGCAGCAAGTGCATACGCGATAATCGGTCTATCCACAAGAGCGGCTGGTTCTTTTGTTTCGTTATCGTCATCAATTGTTACATACAGAAACGATCAATTTCGCAGGGAACCTCCTCGTTCCCATTACCGACGTGTCCCATCTGCCGCACTATTGTGAAGCCGGGCCGCGTGTATCGTATATGATTAAAACTTTACCGAGGGTCAACCGTTTGTCGACGTTTGCCATTTGCAAAACTGTTATTTCATCGCATGTTTGGCGCGTTATCCTTTCTTCTATCGCGCATGGTGTTCTGTTTCTCGTCGCGCGCGCAATATGTTTTAACGATAGAGCTTTTTCGATGTCACAATTTAAAATCAATTTTTCCACTTTCGCAACTCTTCAGTGTTTTCATGCATTTGTTCAATTGCCCAAAGTTAAAAATTCTATTTTTTAACTGAAGAATTTAACTGAGTGTACATTTTTTTTTTCTATTCGAAGTCCTAAAATCCTTTCGATTCGCGTAAAGCTTTTCTTTCTTGTTCATAACGCGGATATTATAAGCGCATCTTCGCCAAGGAAAAATCGACTCCAAATTGACCGAGAAATTCACCGTTAAAGAAGAACGAGTGAATCTGATGTACCTTTTATCGTAAAACGGTTAAGAAGACTTCACATACGTCGAAGTTGTCTAGTCTCGAAGTCTCGGCCTTTCTAAAAATCGCGAGTGTCCCAGTTTTCTCTGCTATTGTTCTAGTTGTCGTGACATACAGAGAGAAAATATGATCGGTCGGCCTGGCCTATAGAGAGAGAGAGAAAGAGAGAGAGAGAGAGAGAGAGAGAGAGAGAGAGAGAGAGAGAGAGAGAGAGAGAGAGAGAGAGAGAGAGAGAGCCGATTTTCCTCTTCGTATAACCAGCCACCACGGAGTGACGATAATCGGATTCACCGGGGCTATCTTTGTGAAAATGCGGGTGCTTCCCCCTCTCTTCTTCCTGCCCTCCCTCTCTCTCTCTCTCTCTCTCTCTCTCTCTCTCTCTCTCTCTCTCTCTCTCTCTCTCTCGTCGAGAACCTGACCCCTCGCAAAACCCCTTACTACCCTACAAATACATACATACACATACATCGTACACGCTCCTTTCTCCCTCATTCACGGCGCGTATGTACGATACGTACACACGACGATGATGCATACATACATGTAAATCACGTCCGTGCCAGGTTATCGAACACGAGGCCTGACGTCACAAAGGTACATCGTCGACCTCGCATCGCCGAGCAAAGTAACTCTTCGTTCGCGTTTCGTCATTCGCGCGGCAGCAGGCCGCGAGTGGGGAGGGAAGGAGAGAGAGAGAGAGAAAGAGGAAGAAAGAGAAAGAGAGAGAGAGAGAGAGAGAGAGAGAGAGAGAGAGAGAGAGAGACTGCGCCAGCTATGCTTTAATAGACTGTGATATATATTATGTACCTGTATATATACACACACATATACACGTGCGGCGTATAACGACATTTCGTAACGAGAGGAAAGAAGAGAAAGAGAGAGAGAGAGAGAGGCTCTATTTTCTGCTACCACCGAAAAAAAAAACCTAAACCTCCGTATCGAAGACGGGAACGTTCGTCATCGCCACTTCTCGTCGAAGCGAAATGTCAGCGATAACGAATAGTACGTGCGAATGCATTATAGTACGAATGCGTTATATAAACCCGTTCTCTACTTGCGTGGTTACTTTGCGTCACGTCTTCGGGTCGACCGATTTTAGATTTCCGTAGTCCACTCCAAGAAAATAAGTAATTAACGAGACGCGTAAGAGCGCGCCTTCGATTCAGCATCACGCCAAAAGTGGGAGACCCGACACCAGTTTCGATATTTTAATCTAATTCTAATTTTAATCTAATTCGAAGCGAAAATATTGACTTTATTAAAAAGTCAGCCAAGTCTATTTTCCCGTATCACGTTTCAGTATATTCACGCGGAATTTCCTACGTCAACACGATGTTTCCTTCGGCCGAACACGTATTTTTGCGGTCTCGACGATTACTTACGCAGCTACAATTGCCGCATCGGTTTTCGCCAATTCGACGGACGTGACAAGCGTAAAAAATGCATACCTCCAAAGCCTTCGTTGCTGGGAAAAAAATATTAGCTATTGCAACATCTGATGATACAAAGTCTAAAAGCGACGGCAACGTGATGTGACGCATATCGAGAAGAGAAACGGCCAAATGACGTTTTGGGACGAACAAATCTGCCGTCGTTTGAGCAACTATCAAGCCAATAGAGCATCATTATGCGTACTATTGGCGCGATTGCATTAACAGAATTTATCGTGGCATCGATACGTAATTTGTTTAATTAATTTTTTTTTTTTTTTTTTTTTTTTTTGGAAAAATATGACGCGAGACTTCGCAAACGATGCGTCATTCGTGCGGTCTTGTTATCGAGAACGTGCGTAATAATTCGTGGAATAGTAACAGTAACACACGTGATATATATATACCTTGAAGCCGCTTCCTTCTGGAAGCAAATCGGCCGACTGGTGGCTCTAAAATACAAAAGAGACATTTCGATTAAACAAAGACAAAATTACTATTAAACTGAGAAAAGAAAAAATATATGGAGAGCAATTAAATTGATCAAATATCAATTAATTAAAATGTAAAACAAGGTGTAATTGAAGAAGAGCGATGAATGGCGCAGTTTACTCTGGTCCTTAAAAACGAGGATAATAGAAAAAGGAAAAATTCGACAATATCGTTCAATACGAATGATTTTTAGTTTGATCGACTGCGACAGTTTGAATCTATAAATATACAATTATCGCGATAATAAAATGAAGGCCCATGTTTTATTACAGATGACAATTTTATGCATGTTTACTACGTCAAGTTTAACATTTACGTAACTGGACGATTGTATTTTCGAGAGAACAGTCTCCAAGAATTCGACGTGGATTGCAAAAGTCGTCGCGTAAAAAATGATCTGTCGTTCAATTATGTAAATGCGAAACGCTGCGTGTTGGCTCGTTTAGTTAGCTACAGCAAAATCCGGTCTCCGCGGTAATAAACGAAGGAGGAATATAGACAGTAATTTTCGGAGTTTTAACATTAGCATTTTGAATGGTGTCACAGAGAAATATCATATCCTTTTAGAGCTTTATGCGACAGCAGTTTTTGTTGAAGTTTCATTTTCGATCTTTTTGCAATTTGTGATAGAGACTCGTTGAAACTTTTTTTTTTCCTTTAATGACATACTGTCGACGTCTTTCTGAAGTGTTGACCTTTTCGTCTTGAAACACTCCGCATAAATCGAATACGGATATTGAACGCAAACTCGTATCTATTTTTCTTCCAGAGAATTTCTTTATATGAAAAAAATTCTGTTCCGTCGGTTTACCTCATCCCAATTACAAATATATTTTCCCGCTAACACGTGAAAGTTCTTCATGAAAGTTCTTCATCTTGAAAGTTCAAAGATTAATAACAACTTACTCCTAAAACTTTTTTTAAAAATTAATGATATCTTTTTTCTTCCGCGATGAAAGATATCATGAGAGAAAAACACATGGAAAAAAAAAGATTTCGTTAAAACAACTGAAAACTGATTCAGCAAATCTACGGTCATAATATACTAACAGCCAGTTTTCTATATTAAAGCAACAAAGTTAATTATATAGTTGAATGAAATTAGGTAATCATATTTGTTGTAAAACAACTTTCTAAAATTAATCTAATATATAGATCAAAATTTTTTGATGAAACATGCTAGCTAAAGCAACACATATTTTTGCTACTATGAAGAAAATATTAGCAATTTTTATTGTTATATTAGCAACTTTTATTGCAGAAAAGGATTAGCTGAATTATCATACTAATAATTACTTAATTTTCGTATTAAACCATCGAATCTTTTTAGTTATAAATGTTAGACTCGCGCAACAAGCTTTGCTGAATCACCCAATCCTTTCTCAAATTTTTTTCCGTGCAGTGCAACTTTACGCAATTAAACGCGATTAAAAAACTTATGTTATTTTTTCAAGCAAATACAGAAATTTATACATTTCTATTACTCCTTTCAAATGTAACAAAGTTTTTATAGTGTCGCGAAATCTGTCATACATTGAAAAAAAAAATTACTAATAAAAAATAGTTAAATCAAATTAACTCAGCGATTCTTATATCAAGTAAGTATATATATGTTTTTATATTTAATAAACATTTATTTAAAATTATCCAAACAATCAAATTAATTTAAAATAAATTTAAAAAAATTTATATAATATAATATTTTTTTCAGTGTACGACTCAAAAGTTTTGTCTTATGTCTCATCATTAATTTAGACAACGGAAACTCCGTGGTGTTTCGTTTTTTTCGCACCTCTGTCATCCACTGGCTCGATGACGGAGATGAGCGACATTTGGTCCGCAGAGGAAAGAAACACACGGCAGAAACGTGCACGAGGAACACGTTCGTCCTTTTTGGCAGCACGTTCACGCTCACTTGTCACGAAACAAGAAATATCTGTTGTTATAGTAGACGATACCTCGTATCTATTATAACAATAACTAATTCACAGACACGATTTTATCACAATATTACACTAAGGTAAGAAATTTCGACGTGGTACGAAGTAAACGGGACGCGCGGTAAACAACTCCGGAACGTAGCATTCGTGTACAGAATAATACAGTCATAAATATTCAGGCGTTTCTCTTCCTTTCTACTCCGAGCATTTTATCCAACAATCGTGAGTAAACTTTACTAAACAGTCAAACTAATCAAAGGAGTCGCTCCGATGCGCGAATACATTTACGAGATTCGTATCCGCGTTGATCCAACGTTCGCGTTTCTCCTTCGAAGATGAGAAGATGAAATAAACGACGAGGAGCACAGACGAAGAGGATGTGCAGTCGCGTCGTACTGACGGGACGAGATCGCGGTCGCCGGCTAAGCGCTTGTATAAAGCGCTACACGAACAAATATTGAACTATATCGAAACCACCGCGCATCCGAGAATCTCATCTCGCGACAGCGCCTGATCGGACTCGACTGGACCGATGTTGGTGCAGCTGAGCGATTGAATTCCTCAAATCGCGCGCAGGTCTCGAAAAGTATGAATCGAGTCGATCTGAAGCGGTGTGTTTGGCGAAGTGTTTGGCGGAAACTTCAGCGAAACTTCCAACTAAACTATAGGGTGAGTGCTCCACTTTGCGTGCGTTTTTCTTCTACAAGATTCTTCGGACGCGCATCTCCGAGATCGAAGCGATACTCCCCTTCCTCGCCTCACGTGACAATAATAACCGAGTCCAGGCCTTTCGTTCTGGGGGGGTAGAAGGAAAGGATGGTGGAAAGCGCGGAAACCACACGCGTGAGAGAATTTCCGGAGGGGGGGGGGAGGGGGATCTCGATCGATTATCACGACTTCAATCTGAGCGAGATTAAGAAACGTTTGAACAATAATGAAAGGGAAGTCACGAAAGTTCAGAGATCAAAGTCTGGGATAATTTATTAGTATGTGTTACTCGAGGTGAGATGTAAAACGGAGCTCAATTAACGCTAAATATTCCTGAAATATTCGTAAAATGTGACATTCCAAGAATATTCCGGAATATTTCGAAATATTTTCAGATTGTAAAAGCAACAATCAATAAATCATTAAATATCCATTCATACTCGTTACATATTCAGAGAATATTCTATATACAATTATAATTTTCCCAGAAATTCCATGTCCGAAATGTCTCTGAATTAACTTTAATTTTTAAACAAAACTGTACTGTCACAAAAACACATTTCATTTACTTTGACCTTGGAGCCCAATTTTACAGTTAAAATGCTCGCTTTACAGTTAAAATGCTATGACCTTTATATTCTTTCCTATACGATTATATTTACGAGTAAAAGCAACATTCACACTCTAAATTTTTGAGAATAAAATTCACTTCCGAACAATGGTAGTTGCGTTAGTTCAGCAGAAATGAAATTTTCACTCTTAGAAAGTGAAGAAAAAACTTTAAGCGAGAATCAATTTTTAATCTCTGAATAATATCACTCTCCGAAAAGAGAGACTAAAGATAAATGTTAAGTTTAGTCCGCCCACATCCAATCTTGACGAAATTAAGCTCATTCGAGATGTCTTTACTCACAAAACGAATAAATCTGGCAGAAAAAAAGCGTCGTTTTGTCTTGCGAAGCGAAATATTAATCATTAAAATTGACTTTTTAGTAAATTCACTCCTTGAAGGGGTGAAATGAAATTCATTCTTGCCAGACTTGCAACTATCACTTTTTTTTTCTTGAAGTGAAAACTCAAAAATTTAGAATGCAAATAATCGTTTATTCTATTCATACAACGCTATATATTTCATGAAATCACACCTTTCCCAGAAATTCCATATTCGGAAGTCTCTGAATTAATTAAACGCAATTTTACTGTCAGAAATTTTATATATGCTTTCATCTTAGAACCTAATTTTGGGGAATTCACTTCACAAGCGAAATGCAGGAGGATGCGTTCAGAAATTATGTACAGATAACTCTGATGTGCACTTTTGTTATAGTAACATAAATTATAGCGACGTAAACTATAGTCTAGAATTATCTAGGTGTAATTTCTGAACGCATCCCTACGCTTTTCACACCCTTTCCCTTTTTATTTACGAGGTAATGCATCTTCGCTATTACAACCCTCTGTCGTCGGGGATGTGTACTGCTTGCACAAGAAGTGTTTATACAATATTCCGAATATTTCATTAATATTTGAACATTCTCTGTGAAAGTTCTTTTATTGTTTTAGAATATTCGGCATAGAATAATCGGGAATACGAATCGAACTTTTCATGAATGATGTGTTAACTGAGGATATCACGATGAACGGCAAAGGCGATCTTTGCTGCCAAATAATTCGCTCTCAAAGGAGTCTGACAGTTTATTATGATTCTTGAAACGTAATAATTTTGTAAATTGAAAAAAGAAGAAAATTAAAAAAATAAGCAAATTAATTATTGTAGATGTTGACTAGATGTTGTCTATCTAGATATTTAATAAAGTTATAAATATTCCAGTATAAATTCAATAATTTTGTAAGTTTCACTTTTGTGTAGTGATACAGAATCTAATTTGAAACGAAGTGAAAATTACGAAAGCAAATTCACTATATAGGTGTTGTCCAATGAAGTGATAAATATTCTAGTAAATTCACTCACTTCTGTAATTTTCACCTCGCTCCAAGAACCGTAATAAGTTGTCCTTTGTATGTGGCAACAAGAAAGACAATTTATATAAATAGTAATTAGGAAAGAGAAAAAAAAACGCGTTCAACAGAAAAAGGCTTTGTAACTGTTGTAAAATTTTTTAATATGACTGATTTACATTTTGATCCAGTGAGTAAGAACGAGACCAACTATATTAAAGAATTTTACAACAGTTGCAAAGCTGCTCTTTTCTGCTGAACGCAGCCATTGATGAAGATATACATTGATAAAGAAGAAGAAAAAATATTAGAACATCTATTTTAGTTCTCCCGTAGTGAAGTTGTTCGCCGAGACGTAATAGTTGGGGAGTTTAATAATCCGTGCAATTTTATAAAAAGGATACTTCGTGTAACTCAGGCAGGAATCAAGAATATCTTCTTTTCGCCTGCTCGACAGTGAGAGGGATCCAATAATACCCCAAAAGCATTTATCTTTCTATCGCGAGTCTCTCCGAGAGATTTAAGGAACTTCCTCCTTGATTGGGTAAGAAAGGATCGGAAAATTGAATCAATCTGGGAAAAAGGGAGAAGTATTGTTTTTCGTGAAAGAAAGAATACTATAGAAGAAAAAAAAAGAAGAGAAGAAAGAAAGATGTTTAAACTTCGAATTCGATACTGACTAGAAATTGCATGCGAATAGAAGCATTTCGATATCACATGCATTTCTCAGTGGAACATCCCAGCGTTTATTCAGACATACATTTCGCACTGCCATTACGTGCGCGGCTCGTTTAGAAACCGATTCCACTAATATCGTTCAGCACTAATCCCACATAATTGCCCATATTACATCACCAACGTTACTATCCCGAGGGGAAAAGAGGAGACTTGGTCAACTAATCCCGGAATTAATCAGGCATATCGGTGGTCGAATCCAGACATCCGTTCAGTGGATGATCACCTGGTATCGCTAAAGATATCGATCAATTGATGCGTTCAGCAGAAAAAGTTTTACTGTTATAAGATCTTTTAATATAAAACCCATTCTACAATTATGTAACTATAATAGTTGTAAGAATTGGCTAATTACAGTCGAATATTTTCCTAATATTTGAGTGTGATTGGTTAATTCTTACAACTACAATCATTTATTACGCTTATACAATTATAGAATGGACTTAATTAGTTCTTGCTTTCAATTCCTCCTAATTCTTCACTGAATCTAAATGCATGTTTTTTTTTCTGTTGAACGCAGTCATTGAGAAAAAAAAGGACAGACAAAGAATACGGCATGGAAATGACCGATCGCTCAATTTTATTAAATTATTATCACCGTCTATTACTGGTAAATTACTGATATTATATATGCTACATTATATCCGGAATCACGACATTTCTTTTCTCCACCCACCTGTCCGTCTTTTACCCACCCCCGGAAGGAAAGTGAGAATCGAAACCGCGACGACGAGTCAATTGACGTTGGTAGAATCGACCCTGCACGCTTAACTTACAACTGATATCGATTGGAGTAGCTCTCGACCAGTTCAAGCTTGACTCTACTAACGTCATGATTGACACTAATCATAATCAGTTAACCAAGCTATTCGTCACTCTATACCTGTACAAACAATGTCTGATTTTTTTTCTCATAAATTGAAGAGAGAGAATCGCTTAATTTCTCGAATTCGAGATGACAGTAAAATCTTTACTATCGAACAGATTTTTCAATAAGTGCCCTGCCGATAATTTATTAATTTAATTAAATTAAGAAAAGTTAACGGGACACTGTTGTAAACAAAATAGAAAAATATCAAGGAATCAAATCGACTGATATTATTTTGGAACATTGACTGTAATATGCACAAAACATTCTTTTCATTTTAGATTTTTTAGAAGATATATTTAGTATCGATTTTTCTCACATAGAGAATTATAAAGATGAAAAGTCTTCCACTTGAAAAATTTAATATGGTCATAGTTTGTACAATTTGTTTTGGTCATAAAGCTTCAGAATGGACCTTTATAGATTTATCCATCTTGTTTTTACTGTCGGTTCCTGTGAACAAGCATTATTGACAGAATCGCCTCTAATCGTGAGATACCGTGAGACGGAAACTGGGATAGATAGATAGATAGAGAGAGAGAGAGAGAGAGAGAGAGAGAGAGAGAGAGAGAGAGAGAGAAGAGAGAAAGACATCTCGCCCTCTCCAAAGACTCACCTTCATCGACAGACTCATCCGGTGTGGACGAGCAGGTCTGACCATCCGTATGGATAAGCTGCGTATGCCGTGCGTCACGTAGCCGCGTAAAGAAGTCCACAGCGTAGTCGATGATGTCGCCGGGCTGCTCCAGCAAGTAGCTGATTGTGAACTCCAGCAGGACGTCACGCAGGTCGTCCGGCACCGTGATCTTACCGGCGTTACGTTGGCAGCTCATCTTCCTATTCCCCCGAAGACGATCGCCGATTTAGCTACCACGAGAAAACGTCCTTTCTTTACGTCCTCTCTTTCCTTCGCGCGTTTTATCCCGCTTCCAAATTTTGGGGGCTCGACGGAAGCCTTCGAGTTTCTGCACTTCACGCAGCACAGCCGAATTGTCACGCGCTACAGCTACACGTCACGGATTCTCGCGGAGTCTCTGCTCGCGCGGGCAGCCGAAGCGAGCAGCGATCGGGTACCGGGGACAGAAGCTAGAGCCGGAACTAGAGCAGAAGCTTAGAGCCGAAGCTGTAACTGGGCTTTAAAGCCGGGGTCGGGGATAGGAGAGGAACGAGGAATGCTCGACGCGTCGTACTGCCGCCCACCTTCGACGCGCTGGTTCGGGCACCGGCAAATCGTCGCCGTTGCCACCACCGTTGACAAGCCCCGCTCGCTTCCCGGTGCACCGAGCTGACTATCGACGACGGGGGGGCTAGCTGCCTACCGTGACGACGCTGCGCACAGTCGCGCCGAACATACGACGAGAACCTCGACCAGTCCCCAGAAGACACGAAGAATGAACCGATCGCGGTCGCTAAAATGGCGACTGATAGCACCCGCACCCGCACCTCATCGCGCCGCGGATCGCACGACGGGATGTGCGAGTACTCACGCCAAGTTCAGATCGAGTCGAATTCGATTATTCTCGTCGAGTTCGATTCGAGATGAAACGAACGAACGCGCGCTTTATCTCGTAAAGTTAGGCGCATGTTATCTCTTTATTGTAATTGTTAGAAATCAAAACTATGGGTAAGTATTCATAGCCGATTCTCATATTCAAGATCGTTTTAAGTAGTCTTAAGATATCACGAACCAATTAGAGGGACATAGTATCTTAAGGCATTACTTAAGATGATCTTAAAATAAGAACGAACTATAAATACCGACCTATATTTCTGTTAATTAATATCACAATCTGTTATTTATTTTTTAATTTTATATTTAATATTTGACGAGTATCGTACGATTGTAGATATTAAAAAGCTATGATTGAACAATAAATTTGTATAATGTATTTTAATTTATAAATTCAATGATATACTGTGTAATGAAATACATGGAAGTTTCTGATAAACTAGAATAGAAAGTCTGGTTGCATAAGAAACAGCACAAGAAAAGAGAATGAAAAGTTGTTATGAAGCAAATGTTTATTTTTCAGCCACTTGACCGCGTGAAAAAAAAGATTACGACTGATAGAATATCCGTCGAAGTACGTGTTACATCAATCTTATTTCTTATAACCGCAGCTGCGTCTACGGCCTCTTGCCCGTTCGAATTTTCGACCCTTAGACCTCACGTAAGGTTTCGTATGAGAATGTGGTACGCCAGGAGCCAGGCCGAAGTGTTTAACGCTCTCGCGAGCATTACGCGGTCCCTGCATTAAGACTGTACGGCTTCCAGTCGGGGAGCGTAATGCCAGCTGATCGAACGTGATGATCTCGCCTCCATTTTTCAAGATGCGTGCCCGAGCCTTCTCAGTGACACGTAAAGCGCATACCTGCAAAAATCAATTACCATGTAATAAAAATTTAACGCCAGTATTCATAGTCAATTCTTATTTCAAGACAGCTCTAAGTAATGCTCTAAGTAATGCCTTAGGCTAATATTACATTCATGTTTTTTGTTGTACAAGTTTTTCAAGCCTGTTGATTAGTTACAGGACAAAGAGGTTCTTGGATCTCTCTATCCTGCAGCCAATTAACACGCTTGAAAAATTTATTGTACAAGAAATGTGATATCAACTTTAAAGTGCCAATACTGTTCTGTGACCGATATATTCATAGTGTATTCTTATATTTAAGATCATTTTAAATAGTCTTAAAATGTCATAAATCAATTATAGAGCTGTATTAAGCTAATATTATATTTATCGTATAATAAATTTTTTAAGCTGTTTATTAGCTAGGATAGAGATATTTGAGAGTTTCTTTATCCTGCAATTAATTAAAGTACTAAGCATAAAGATATCCTTAACTAAATCATGGAATGCAAGTCATAGGTCATAGTCATAAGTCATAGGTCACCACATGTTTTGAAGTAAACATTGTGTTGACCTACAACTATGACTCATGTTCCACTTTTATATTCAGGTGTTAACACACTTGAAAGATTTATCCTATGACATACAAAAATCAGCCTGATTAATATTTCTGCAAACAATCTTAAATTAAAAAACAGACTATGAATATTGGCCTTAGATATATTTGTAGTCATTTACCGTCAACTTGGGGACTTCAAAAATCCTAGCATCGTCAGTGATTGTACCGACGATGACGGCAACACAATTCTCCCTGTTAGGTTTCTTCATAAACCTGACGATTCGCGCCAATGAAATTGGTGGTCGATGAATTTTACTCATAAACAATCGTTTCAATATAATTTTATTGAACTTTGAATTTGTTCTTCTCGCCAAGAACCGATACAGCTGAAACAAAGCATTTATTAATTATCTGTGATTCTAATAAACTTCAGAGGCTTTCTACAATAAGTCATTAGTAATAAATTCAAAGTCAAAAACTAGAAATTCACCAATCAAATGTGAAAAGAAGTGACTGGTTTCTAGTTTCTGATTTTGGATTTATTAATAATGGTTTATTAAAAAGTCTCTCATAATTTTCAAATCTATAGCTTCTTTTAGAAACTTAATAGGAATACATTTATTAAAAACTTATATAAATTAATTATATAAAATAAGTATATCATCAAGCTTCTATAAAATTTTGTTTCCAAAAAGTTTTGCAATTAAAGAATTTCAAATTATAATTACAAAATTTATCTAAAAATGTATCAACTATAATAATCGCTCTTTTATGTTGCAAATAAGCGAGATAGGATAGTTGACAAATATTTCTCTAGCGAACTTTCAAATTGAATCAGGTCTACAAAAGATCTGACACAGAGTGCAGTTCGCAATCATGAAAACTGATTGATAAATCGCCATATACAATCATTAATAACAATATCAGTCATTTGTACTATACTGAATTAATACATTAAAGTTTGCTTTATATAAAGTATCTAAATATATAAGCACAATATAACTAAATTTAACAAAATAAAATTTTAAATAATACATTTATTCTGCAAAATAATGTAACATCATTATTTTGTTTAAAATATTTATATGCTTTTACACTCAGCTTTGCTGATTTTATATATAGCAGCTTTAGTATGTACTAATCTCGTGCAATAAAAGTGATTAAATTCGTTATAAATCTCTTTCAATTCATTCAACTGACGAGTATAAATTAAGAAAGATGTACGATGATAGGAAGCATCTTGTCACATTTAATCATGCTTGAAAACTAACCTCAATAAGGAATCATCACGACAGACAATCGTGCATTATTTCTTACAAAATTCCAACGGAATAATGTTTCTGAGTAAAAGTTTAAGATATATACTTCGCTTCACAAGAACTTACTCAGTAAATAATATAAAAGGTAAGGCATTTACCTTGACGAGGAGTCGTAAATATACATCTTGCGACTTGGGTTCCGTTCGTCGCACCTTCCGATCATGCTTATGATTAATATCGATACCCTGCGAAAAGAAATACTCGTCATTAATTGAATCTAAACAGTTTAATGTCCTGTAGTCACGTTCATTTATCGCGATTAATAAATAGCGGCATAAAATTGCCCGATTTTTTAATCGAATCGGACACTATCACACCATCTTACCATTTTGATAAACCGGAAAAGAGAAATAGTCGCGAATGAGTTGTGCGATCGAAGACGGCGGAAATGACAGAGGGCGCACATTGGCGGTGACACAGTCGGTAACAACGAAGGTATTATTACCGACAGTAGTTCCATCGATACGCCGTAACGTAGATGTCGCTTTCAACGGACCAATTTGAATTGTTGTATTGGTTTCTATATATATGAACCCGCTAAATAGTGGCGGGCGAGCAGCTGATCGTGTCGTTGTCGGTCGTTGTCACGATCGTTATTTTGAATTTACGAATTAAAATTTTTAGTATTTATTCAAAGACTCAGCGGTATGGCGAGTTTATTAGATCTGTGTGAACAGTATTTCGGTGCCCGTAACTTTTACGACGTATTAAAAATACCAAAGACTGCAAACGACAAGCAAGGTGACATTAAAGCGTTCTAACCTCTCCGCGAATTTCAATTATTGAATCTTTTTTTTTATAGTAATAACATTCGTTATATTTGTGTTACCAGTTAAAAAGGCTTACCACAAGCTATCATTACTTGTACATCCGGATAGGGTCGAGGAGAATATTAAGGAGGAAGCGACGGAGAAGTTCAAGGTTCTCGGTAGAATACATTCCATTCTCAGTGATAGCGAAAAACGCAAGATTTACGATGAATCTGGCCAGTATGATGAAGAAAGCGAAGAGGTCGTAATGCGCAATTGGGCAGATTATTGGCGGTCCTTATTTAAAGAAATTACTGTTGAAGATATCAATAATTATGAGAAAAATTACAAGGGATCAGAGACAGAAATTAAGGATCTCAAAAGAGCATACATAGACAGTAAGATTTTTGTACTATGTACAGATAATCAGAAACACATCAATTTTTGTCTTATTTATTAATCATTTTAAAAATAATTTTTTTAACATAATTAAGAATTAATATTTCTGCAAAGAAAAAAATTTAATTTAATCTTTAGAGAGAAAAGGAGTCTATTTTAAAAATCTTATAGTTTTTTTTTAAGTAAAACTTATAATTTATTATGTTCCTTGCCTCAAAATATGAGACTTTTAGAATCACTATAGTGGCTTTCTGTCTTTAGAAAGGTTAAAATTAATCAAGAACTAAGAATTAAACATAGAACAAAAGATATTCTTTATATTACAATATCAATATCAATATTGTAATATAAATTAATTAACATTCGGTTTGTTTATATTTATTTATATTTTTTCTAGGTAAAGGAGATATGGATTATATTCTGGAAGCTGTTCCATTCACAAACTGTGATGAAGAACCCAGACTTCATGCCATAATTCAAGATCTAATAGAGAGAGGTGAAGTTCCAGAATATACAACCTTTACTAATGAAAATAAAAAGAAGAAGCAGCGCAGGAGAAGAAAGGTAAGATATTTTGAATATTGTTTCTGATTTTATCATAAAAAATATGTTAAGAAGGCAAAAAAGTTGACATTGCAATAGAACACAAAAGATTAGTTAGAATTAACAAGGAAACTCATGGAAGTGTTTTATTCTGATTTTAATAAACTATGAATATATTTTCTGGATAAAAATAAATATACATTTTTTTTTATAAGGGCCTAATTATATTTTTAGAGAATGCAATACTTCTTTGAAGAGAATCGGTTATTTCAAAAGTGAATATTATTGAAACTGTAAGATAGGAAAAAATATTTGAAATAAAAAGTTATTATAAAGTACTTTTCACGTTATTCAACTTTTATTCAGAACATTTTTTTCTATCTCTTACAGTTTTTTTAATATTCGCTTCGACAGAAAAAAATCGATTTTTTTTAAAGGGATGATTATATATCTCAAATATGTATCCCTTAGTTTTGTTCTAGAAAATAACATATTCAAAACTCATCAAAATTGGAGAAAGAGGGGCGGGCACTTCTAAGATTTCCTTATAAATAAATGTTAATATGCCTGTATACAATTCAATTAATACTTATTCCATTAAAAAAAAATGTATTTTCATAATTTTGCAAACATATCAGAAATACTATTATAGAATTCTTTGACGAGTTTTGATTGATTTTCACAAATTTTAGTGTTTACTATCAAACGTCTATAGTTTACTTTCTTAATTACTTCGATGTTTAAACATTTTCATTAAATATTTTCATTTTCAGTAGTTTCTCGTATATCCGAGAATATAATATTGTATATAGGGTATCTCTTAAGATGAATCGGGATCACATTAGGGGCGGAGAATGGATCAAAGGGAATAAAAAATTCTTATACTATTTAGAGATACTGGCTGTAGTTTTCGAATTAGAAAAGGAAACGTCTAAGCCAATATGCGATCAAGCAGCGTCGCATCGCGTCTACACTATCCAAAATGTTATTTTAGCTGAAGTTTTCCTTATACATTTCTTATCGTTATAAATCACATTATTTAGCACGATTAAATACGTTTTAACACAATTATAGATATGTTAAGCTAATTAATGTAATTAATTAGAGCATTACACAAAGCATATGCTGATCGTCGCGATATCTTTCCGCTTGCTTTATTATACGATGTTTTTATTTAATTACGCTTCGAGACACATTTTGTCGGAACTATCACGTCGTTTTATGCTATATTTAATTAGAATTTAGTTAGAATTTTATTTTTTGACATGTTAATGTACACTTGAAATTATTAGTACAAGCTCAGGTAGATAGCCGCTACATTGTAAATCCAGATGTATTATTTTTCCATGTAAAATGACGCATTTGACTGAGATTCTTTTTCACACGGTGTGTTTCTTACCGTTTAACAAGTTGTACACTGTTAGAAACGTTCTTAAATTTTATTAATCTTTTATGTTCACTGATGAATAAAATTTAAATTTTCTGTCACTGAAAAAATTATTTATGTATACGTTAATGAGATGTTTAAATTTGTAACTGAAACCTTAAGTGTATTGAAAAACACTAATTGAAAATTGAATGTTTTAATTTATTTCGATTAAATTTAATACCCACATTTTTTTATACGTACCCATACGCACTTTTAGAGGGTAGAACACCCTTTAGAAAAAAATCGGTGTTTCTCTTTCGAAGCGAATGTCGCTGGAATTGTAAGAGATAGAAAAAAATTTCAGAATGAAAACAGAATGGCTTTAAAAGTACTTTAGAACTGTAGTAAAAAAATTTTTTCTTTATAAAAAAATAACTTTTATAAAAAATTATTAAAAAAGTTTTTTTAAAAATAATTTTAATTAAATAAAAACATTAATTAGCGTAATTAAATAAAAACATCGTATAACAAAATAAGCGAAAAGATATCGCGACGATCAGCATATGCTTTGCGTAGTGCTCTAATTAATTACATTAATTAGCTTACCATATCTATAATTGTGTTAAAACATATTTAATCGTGCTAAATAATGTGATTTATAATGATAAGAAATGTGTAAGGAAAACTTCAGCTAAAATAACATTTTGGATAATGTAGACGCGATGCGGCGCGGCTTGATCGCATATTGGCTTAGACGTTTCCTTTTCTAATTCGAAAACTACAGCCAGTATCTCTAAATAGTATAAGAATTTTTTATTCCCTTTGATCCATTCTCCGCCTCCAATGTGGCCCCGACCCATCTTAAGAGACACCCCCCTGTATAATAATGGCTATTATTAATTGATTTTGCATGTCTATTGTATTTCCATTTAATTTTAGAATTATCTAAAAATTAAAAAAAAATCAATTTTTGAAACAATTCAATTAATATAAGGAAACATTATTATGAAGCATTATTTCATCACCCGTTGCGATTTTTGCCGCGCCCGTATACTACTTGTATATCGATCTGCAACCGTGATCGACCTCGTACAATTGTAGCGCGAATTTTAAATCACGTTAGCACATTCATGCTAAATGTCACTTCAATAGTCTTTTAACGCCCCGCAACTCTATTTTCAAGCTTCTCTATTTTTACCGATCGACTGTACAGCTTGACGGGTGGAAGGTAGTAGGAGAAATAGAAGCACTACTAGGAGGGGAAGGTCTAGTAAATAAGTAACCTACGAATGTGAGAACTGCTTCAGTCCGCGTTACAATTAGTTCGATCGTTTGTCGTTAATCGTAAAGTTCGAACGAACAATTCCTCTCGCGACGATTGTCACATTTTGTTCTGTCTGATCGTCGAAATGAATATAATAGAGGACTGTTTTTTCTACGATGATTATTGTTACCATTAATCGAAGCTAATTGTATTTTGCCTATAATCCCTTTATACGGCAATCAAAAAAATGGATCGTACTGTAACTTTAGTGTTATTTGCCTTGCTAACCGTATTTGTCGGTGATGTCGCGGCATCGTGCAGAAAGGTAGAGAATGAGGATATGCTGGAATATGTCTGCGAAGGTGGCCACCCCGTTGATTTGACTACCGTACCTGAAACAACCGAAAAATTGCGAATTTTTAGAATGCCACTTCACAGAATAACTGCCGATACGTTCTCGAGATTTGGCGAGAACCTTTGGGTACTGAGTTGCTCGCATTGCGAGATTACCGATATCGATGCAGATGCCTTTCGACGTCTCGTCAATCTTCAGCAACTCAGCTTAGACAACAACCGCCTAACTACCGTCAGATCGTCGTGGTTCGAAGGACTGGACTCTTTGACGTATCTCGATCTCAACTACAATAACATACGTGACATTGAAGACGGCGTCTACACGAATCTACCCAGTCTCGTAGACTTAAGGATTTCGGGAAATCGACTGCAATGCCTGAATCTCGACGAGATGGCATACTTGAAGGAACTGAAGCGCATTTTCCTCAGCGAGAATTCCGACTTTGCCTGCCCGCATGCTGTCAGCAAGTTCCTTGAGAATCAGGGCGTTGCTTTTGAACAGGATCCCGAGTGGAGCAGACTCACTAGTGACATAATCAACGTTCATGTTCCACCGATCCACGTAGAAGAAGGCGAAGAAATCGACAGCGCAGAAATCGTGCCAGCGCATCGCGAAAGGTTACACCCCAGTAGGAGACCACCTCCAGAGGAATCAGAAGAATCTTATAGAACGAGAGACAAGACGTTTTATCCAAACCATTCGGAGACATATCGTTCACGCCACAGGAGACCACCAACCACGACTGTACGAACTACGCCAAAGCAACAGGAGGAATTGCCTTTGCCACGAGTGGAATCAAGATTTCCGGACACAACTCGGAGACCCTCGCACATATCGTCGGAGTCATCGTCGCATCAGGTAATGTTTTACCCGTATTCGACGCCAGAAACGCCACCAGCACCATCCGCCGAAGATATCAAGATGCCGGGAACTGACGGACCGTCGCGAATGGAACACACCTTAATGTATCCACAGTCAACACACGAAACGACGCCTTATTGGTCATATCCAACGCCGGAAAGACCGCGAGTACCACCCGTAACATTATCGGAGGACATCAGGATAGTAGGAACTGATAGGCCACCTCAAACGGAAGGCATGTTAACATACCCGGCATACATTCCACCGCATGAAACGATGCCTTATCCATTGTATCCCACGTCGGAGAGATCGCAAGTATTTGTTATGGGATCTTCAGAGGACAAAGCGATAAAAGAATCCGGCAGATCATCGCAAGCTGGAAACATTATGACGTATCCTCTATATGTTACAACATCCAACGGTCTGGAAAGTATGCCGCATGGATCCATTCAAATGACGTCCGGTGTTTCGGACATGGTTTGGTCCACAGATGACTCGGTTGAGCATTCGGTCTATCCGATGATAGAACGTCACGAACAATCTCGCCGTCCTACCGAAGGTAGCGACAGAGTGACGTCAACGAAAACACCATATTATGGACACGACCCACGTGAAATGATAGTCGAAGAACCATCATCGGAGACCGACGACGACTTTTCTATCTCCACGGCTCGACCCATTGAATACGATCGATCGCGAATTACGACGGAATCTGACACGCATTATGTTAGACCTTCGCCACCGGAATTGATAAATTTACCTTCGACGGACGAGATGTACCAAGCTCCGTATTATGAACCGACAGTCACCATACATCCACCGCGGCAAAATTATCAGAGTAGTAATGGAGAACCTACAGGCGTTCGTCCTATAGATACGACACAAGAGCCGCTTCCCGAGTGTGAGAATTCGGCACCGAAGATTCAATCAGCTGCTGCACTAGTGACGTTCGTTGTCGTCACTGTTCTTGGGCACGCCGTCGTGGGAAGATTTTAGAGCGCGCCTTCCTGATCGTCCAGATGAGCGGGATAGATCGCACAGATAACTTATAATTAGACTACGCAGGAGAAAATCGAATTTACATCTCGCCTAAAGAACGTATTCACTGTGTTGTGACCTGGACTTTTGAGCGCGCATTTATGTATTTAACGTTGTAACTTTTCCTCATAGCATTTCCCTAAAGACGCTTCATAGGATTATTAACCAGATGCAGATAACTAGCAAGAGAGTGATCAAGATGGATGAAACTTTCTTCGGAAATTGAAAATTTCTCCGGAAATGACAAAACCAGCTAAACCTGATGCGTAGGTATCGATATTGGAAAATGCGAAAAAATAAGGGAAAAATAATTCTAACATTTAATTCATTTATTTCAATTCCAGGTAACTTTTTTCTTAGGTAACTTTTATCATGCAACTTAGCTTCCTTAAATATAAGAAAAAAGTTACATGATCGCTACCCAGACAATTCATTTAAATGCAAAAGCTTTTCTACATTTTATCGTGCTTTCGTATTCTGCAGAAGGAAATGCAAGTTTTGAATCTGTAACTTTTCCAATTGGCACAAATTTGTTAAATACTGATTGAATATCTCCGAGAAAATCGAAAGGTGTTGTTAAAGTTTACTAATACTAAACTTAGCCGACTTAGCGAATCTTTGATCTCACGTGGCTTTTCTCTCCCGATTCTCGGAATCGCTTGTGGCATGGTAGCATATGTTATAACGTCGTGAAACGCTTGCCAAGTAAAAAAGCCAATTGAGCGGAGTGTATGCGTGTCCGAGAAATGATTTTAATTGCAATTAAGTGGCGACTCGGTCGTCGCGTGGTAATGAAATAATTATCAAGTGTCATCGTCCAATTGCGCGGTCAGGCGTTATGTAACGAACCTTGCAACGACTCATTCGGCGTTGTCCTCACAAACGCGTTAAATATATGCTCAAAGACGTCACTGTTAGGAGTCAAGTTCGCACAACAGCTTCCGTCATTCTTCGTGCAACAGGTGCATCTTCGCCGCGGTCGGTCGTGCCAGACGGAGAACAGAACGAGAGAAAACAAGAGGGAAAGACTTCTCTCGCGTAGAAATCATTGAGTGACCTTGGATAAAGCGCTAATAAAGCGTCCCGTTATGACGAGGAGCGAGTGTTATCTTCATAAGATGATCTTCGTTGAATAGATGCGTAGCATTTCCGCGTACATATTTACCAAGAGCTTCCCTGTGATCCGCGAACGAACTTGAAGCTAGCACAGTCAATTCCGTGAGATTCCATACCGATGACACGATCGTATGGAATTTTAAATATGACTTCGCGCCATCCCTGCTTCGATGGTTGTCAATTATTTAATGCGATTTCCTTGAGCCAAGGAGTGGCGCGATATTCCGATCAATATAGCCCCCGGATCATGCTACAAGGTCGCGGAAAATAGTTTCCACCTTCGACTTGGACAGATACTTGCACGTGTTGATGGCCTCGTAGATGCTTGGCACAGCCCGAGGGAAATTTATCTCAAAATATTGTTTTTGCGCAAAGCAATGCTTTCCTTGTCCGCATGTTTGAGAAGTAGTTTCTGTCAACTCGACATTAATTATTGCTTGGGATTAACGATTATTGTTTGAAATTCAATTCGAGAATTTACGACCATAAAATAGAAATATATAATTTTACTTAAAACTATTTGCGCATTTTATTTTGATAGAAAACGGTGCTTTCATTGAAAGAAATTTTGTATGATAAATGACTTACTTATTGTGTACGATATGTGTTAGAATAATCAAATTTTTATTAGAACAACCAAACTTTTAAATTAAAAGGTAAAAAAGTTTTTATAAGTCACATATTATACAAAACATTTCTTTCAATGAGGATTCAGTGCTGCTCGACAAATAATGTCTCAGCTCATTTATACAATACTATTCATAAAGTAACGTAATGCGGAGGGTTTACAGTAAGAATCGTAGACTGTGGGGTTTTAAATCGTAGGAAATTGGCCAGTCACAGTCGAACACGAGGAGAATAATCAACTAGATTCCGTACAAGATCTCTTTCATTTTTAACCGCTGACGAATCCGCGACTCGGTAGAATCTTGCGAGGCGTTGTGTAATGCACCAGCATTAGGCAGCCAGTTAGACGTACTTGCCAGAAATTATAAATAACGGAATTTCTTCAGCAGCGAATTATGGAGTAGGTCACGCGCGATATGAAGCGTCATCGACGCTTATGTATCTCGGAGGTAGCTTGGCGCTGCCCAAAAGGGAATCCAACCGCGAAAATTTTCAAAAGTGCGGACGTCGTAAACTGGATTCGCGATGCTACGTTTCTAAAAGTGCGTTTGTGTATCATTCTATCCTTGTTTTACGTATAAAACGTAATAAACAAGATAGAATGACACAAATAACTTTGAATAGCGTTTCCCCGAACGCATCCTAGGATTCATGGTATCATGGTTTGAGTATGTTCAATGTCATAGACCGCGTATGCCGCGGTACAAACTGCGTCTTTGCTTAGCGATTCGAGCATCGTGCTTATAAATGACGCATATCCCGCCACTCCGACCATCGATAAAATCGATGACCCCCTTGAAATTAAACTGCGCCGTTCCCTAGAAGGAAAAAAAAAAGAGAGAACCCCGCTTCACGCCGCTCTGAATGCGAAGTCGCGTGCGTCTAATGCTCTCGAGGATGGGCAGCGCGTGGCGCGTTTCGGAAATAGAAATACGTAATGCATAGAGTCCCTCGCTCTTGTTACGAGTGGGCTGTAATTAATCTTGTTAACAGGGAACGCGCTTGTGCGTCTCAAGAGTAGAGTCGCTATCTGCTTTAAAAAATCTATTCTCTTCCGCGGCGAAGTCTGGATCGAATTATCAATTTAGACTAAACGCATTGATTAAGCCGCTCTCTAGTCGGACAGTAATAGTTCATCGACTTTTCATGTTAATTGACCTGGTTGGCTTCTCTAATTGCAGTGGGCCAAGGAAGCGGCGGAAGCCGAACGTCTGGAGAAGATGTTGAAGATCGAGAACGAGGAAAACGCAGCCACAAACGATCTCGCGCTGGTGATACAAAATCGTAATAAAGCTCGCGCCAATCAGGCGGAAAGTTTCTTCGATTCCCTGATTGACAAATATGCGAAAAAGATCGAAAAACCGAGTAGAAGCAAAGCTTCGCCCTCAAAGAAAATTAAGAAGAAGACATAGAGACTGTGTTGGAAACTGCTGCGTGTTCACTCCATGTCTTTGAAAGTTTCAACCTCTTGTTAACATTAAATTACAAAACACGAACTCGTTGTAGATTTCCATAATGGATGGTTGTGTTTAATTTTTTGTATAAGTTCAAAACATTCATCGAATCAAATGAACTAACTTTTATGGTTTATATAAATGTCGTCAATTAATCGCGCGTAAAGTAAATTAAATCGCTCATAATCGTATCTAATTAAACATTTGTTCATGACAAATGTGCACAACAACGGTGTAGAAATGTCGTATACTTTATATAAAAACAAATATCGTACTCGAATTTTATGATATAATGACATAATAATATTCTCGAAACCAAGGTCCCTGTAATTATTTTCCGTCTATGTGAAACAGAAATAAAGAAGCTTTTTAATATCTCCTTTTATAGTTTCTTTAAAAGTCTATTTTAGCCATGGACTAGAGATCGAAGATAAACTGCGAGGTAAGTATACTTCAGTATGTTTAGCAGTAGAGCAGTGTAGATCCGCTGAATTAAATATGGGAATACTGCCATAATTTAATTGAGTGATGATTCTGACAGTTGGTTTAGCTACACTTCCGAACGACTCTTTTCTCACTACGTAATATTAGCTACTTCTGTAATGCTAGTTATTGTTTCTAGCCACTTATTTTTCTTACATTATATGTAAATAATAAATACAAATAATTTGCTTCCATTTACAAAAGGAAATGTTACCGCCGATTTAAAAAATAATTTGATGAATAATAGAAATATGTATTAAGCTATCTTACGTAACTTTTGAAGATGTTAATTTTTTCTGAGAGAGAAGAGAGAGTCGATTTTACAGAAAATGTTACACAAAAAGTTTTCCGATATCTCCGAAATGTCTTAGTAGAAAAGAAGATGTATTAGGTGTTGGAATTAATTCGTAGCGTTTTTTAATGAAAGAATGTTATTTATTTCACATGAGCATTAAAAAATACATTAATGAAAGTACTTCCCATCACTTGTAAAACGCTACGAATTAATTCCAACACCTAATATATTAAAAGATATAATTTTTTTTGTTGTTAAAACCACTTTTTTCATAAAATTTCTAAATTGAAAGCTTCTAAATTCATCTCTTATATGAATGAACGTGCAAAACTTTAACCTTGACAATCTTAAATTTTAGAAAGGCATTTTCTTATTAATAGAATGTGTTGGATCAAAGTTTTTGATAGTCTAGACGATTATTCACTGCACTGTATGCTGGCACTATGCCATGTTTGCAATCTCAGTAACGGTGCTTACAAACAACGCATATTCGTCTTCCGGATGAAATTTCCGGATATCGATGACTTTTTAAAATTAACTTTATATGTTATATTTCAAAAATTCATATCATTCTCATAATTGCAACAGTTTATATGTATATTTCACATAAATGATGTTTAATAATTTTGATAATTTCGAAATATCGTAAAAAGAAATTACATAATTTTTAATTTTATCTAGAAATTAAAAATTATGTGAGAATTATATATGTACAATACTTGTACTGTACATATATTTTTAAAAAATAAAATTATGTATTATATATTTCATTTAATATTAATTTTTATACTTTATGTGTATATATCTTTTTGTATGTATTATTACATATATATTTTTTAAAAATAAAATATACAGATTATAATATTCTACTATATCGATATTGTCAAGAAAAAGATCAGGTAGGTTGCTATGACTTCCAAAAGGTTGCGCTAGAAGTATTTTCTCGTCTCGATATTTTCGGTCTAACTTATTGCTGTACGACAAAATAAAAATTCGAAAGTTAAATCTTAAAATTAATTATACTCCTAGAATGAATAATTTTGATATAATATTCATCACGCGTAATAAATAAATATAAACAATGTTTAATTAGATTATTAAACATTTCATAATTTATCTCAGAATTAAGAAGTTTTAAATATTCTGTGTGATACATAATTATCATAATTATTGTACCGATATTCATAGTTAAGGCTCATAAATAACCTCATAAAGTTTAAACAATTGTGCTGAATGCACAAAGATCTATTAAAAAGAAGTAGAAACTTTTTTATAATACTTCAAACCTAGGAATGTTATAATATTTAAATAAAGTATGACCAGAATTTTTCAGTGCAATATGATTAATCATATTACTTTTCATAAATCTGACGCACGTCATATTTAATACATTTGTAAAATACATTAAGTGTTACTATAATAGAAAAATGCATCGTCAGTTTTCACACTGTGTGCAAATTCTTCGGTGGTTTAGGTGGCACCGTCATTAGTGCCACGGTCATCGATAAGCACAGGCAATGTGTCAGTCACACCGTTGGTCACAGCTCGTGAAAGATGGGACGAAGGAAAGAGGCAGAGAAAAGGAAACATGCGAAAGAAAAAGGGAGAGAAAAAGGGACAGACTCCTGCCGAGCATCTATTCTCTCGCTTGCGCGTCCCTCGTATTTCGTGCGGCTCGAGCTGGTGATCATGGTGACCACGGTGTTATGGTGCTCTCAAATCGGTGTTGGTAGAGATGGTATGTACACTAAGCAAGTGGCCGCCTCCTATGGTCAGTCTCGTGTTACGTCTGGCCTGGTCGGAGCGACAACACGGTGCACATCGGGTGACACAATTTCCAATCAATACTCCTCCTTATATAGGATTTTATGCGATGGGTAAACATAATATAGCGTTGCCACAGCATTACGGTAATTTTTGATCATTTACTTTTGATCCTACATCAACTAAAAAATTATAACCTTCCAAACATTCATTGTTCGTCGCGATAAATTTGCATTGAGCCTCAGTGATCGAATTATATATCCATTTCAAAATCTAACTTTTAGAAAGTCTAGCTTTTTAAAATATCTCACCAGGGTGATATTTTTTTGCAAGAAATTTCTTGTAAATGTATAAAATCTTTATTAAATTATCATCATAAGAAAATTAAATTATTATCATAAGGGAATTAAATTATTTATCAATATAATAAACAAAGTTACATAAAAATTCTACCTGATAATGAAAAGAGTCAATATTTATTTGAGTGATTATGATGACCATTTATATTATCGATATGATAATTGAAAATATTGTATAAATGAAAAATTCTAATTGTAAAATAAAAATTAAGAAACAACTCTGCAAGTTGATAAAAAATATATACGTAGAATTATATGTTTATATAAGTTGTATTTTATTTACCCTCTATTGCTCAATTTTAATAAAAATTTATCATCACATTTATGTCTATTGAAATAGAAACAATAAATTGCACTTATCTAACTTGCAGGAATAATTACTTTTCTATGAATTGTTATAGTTCTTGACACGTCTCGAGAAAGTAAAAGCATCCATGTGAAATCTACTGGACTAACTGGACTACTCGGCAAACGAGCCACCCGTTGTGCAAGATTGGCGCACACTTTGACGGAATCACGTACGGGCAATTATGGATATGTGGTGCAAACATAGGTAGCAAAGTGTAAACCATTATTATTTTTAGCCAGACATGTAATAGGAGACCGGATCAGAGTTTACCAAAGAACGGTAATACAATAGCCGGCAAAGTAACCGGGCTCGTATTTTTTCGCCCCATTAAGCAGCAATTATATCGCGACCTGTTGGCGATTGTGGCAGAACGTTCTCGTAGTTGTATGCAACGGCAAAACTCATGCTCGTGCTCCATCAAACAAAACCGATGAATCGTGTTGTGTAAGAGGATCAGCGGTTTGCCGTATTATGAAACAATCTGATTAGAGAAGCATCAAGCTCTCGAGGTTTAAGCTCTTGGGTTGCCACGAAATATTTCGTTATATGTTTATGGATCAATAAATTCGCTGTCGATGGGACGGGCGGGATATGAATGTGAAAATCTAGGACGACACTCTGCAGTCTGACATTTCGCGAACTCTTTCGACCTCGCATATATTTGCACTTTACACTCAATCATTGGCTCGTTTGCGCTTTGAAAAAGTACGTATATTTCGCAACGATCTGTGGTCGATCGAAGATTGCGAATATGTATGAGCGTAAAACGTTGACACATTGACCACGTTTACGGAATGTAAATGTAGCATTGCAGAAAGATCGACTCGTAAATCATCGTCTCGCATTTGTGTGTTGAACAGAATCCCCTTTTCACACGTCGTTTAAACTACAGAAATGGGAAATACAGAATCGCAGTCGTGACATTTAAGGCAGCATAAAGTCTGCAACATATTTCCGCTTCTCGCAGGAACGTCCACGATCTATGCTCGGATAGCATTATTGATAATACGTCGGCAAAATCTTTCTCGCTAACAATAAGTGTACAGAGAAAGTAGAAGAAACTGGCGAGCTCCGGAATTGGCTGCGTTCAATAGAAAAAGCAACTTTGCAAGATTCTTGTAGACTGTTGTAAGATTCTTTAATATAATTCATTTTTGCCATTAGTTTTTTTGTAGATCTAGATGTATAATACTTATAATTTCTACAATAAGCCATTATCTAAGTTTTAAGTCTTAAGTCGTAAGAAATTACTAATCATAATCAATTATTCTTCTTACATACAACTGTGATTGATCAATTCCTTACGACTTAAGATTTAAGCTTAAGTAATAGCTTATTGTCTATAAATCAATCATATTAAAGAATCTTACAACAATTGCAAAGCTGCCTTTTATGCTGAATGCGATCATTGGTTGCAGAGAAAGTAGTTTTGCAACTATTGTAAAATTTTTCAATATGATTGCTCTTAGTTCTTTATTATAAACTGTAAATAATTATAAATACATAAACTAAATAATTATATTAAAGAATTTTACAATAATTGCAAAACT